CCACCTGCGAGAGTGCCATCTAGCGGGACCCAGGAAGAGAAGTTTTTCTGCCATGGCACCAGCTCTTTGGAACATCACTCCCCCCAAGATCAGACTTGCCCCAACCCTACTGGCCATTTGCAAGGCAGTAAAAATTTGGTTCTGCTTTCAAGCCTGGGGCCCTAATAGTGTGGGTGGGCCTGTTTCTTGGCTGTATTGATTGTGGAACGCTGTGAGTTTCTCAGTTGCTGTTTTTATGCTATTTATGTTTATAATATATTGGTTGTGTTTTTATTCTGTTTTTATCCTATTTTAATTGTCAGCTGCCCAGAGTCATGTATGAGATGGGTGGGCATATAAATCTAATAAATAAATAAATAAAACACAAGATGTTTTATTTGTACCTTAATTATTTTATTATTCATGTAGTTTAACGATTTACTGGAAGAATAAAAGGTCACTTCTACTGCCTCTTCTGCTCTGTCCTCTTTCATTTAAGTGTACATCCCGTACTGGCATTCTCTTTCCTTCTCCACTTACATATTTAAATTTCAGAAACATCAGCACTTACAAATCTACATGAGGCTCTCCGCCAACAACTGATTTCATCATAAAGACATGTAACCTCTTTGATACACAACCGAGAGACTAAGATCATTTGGTTTTAAGTGGTACCTGCTTTAGAATCCAATTCAGAACCCAGACGGCAGATTTATTTTTGCATCTAATAAAGCTTGCTTTTACTGACTGTAAAGTTGCCTACCTTGAATAGTCAAAGTTAAAATCTAAATAAAGAAAAATACACAATATACTGTGATAACTGATTATTCTAAACCTAGATTAATAAAGATGAACCTTAGTTCATGTACAACTCCAGTTGACCCACTCTATGAGGAAAATCTTACAGTCAGAATAAAGCATATGATATAGGGCTGCAATAGTTAAAAACAGCTGTTTGACACAGCTGTTATAAACAATCCATTTGACACTATCTTGCTTTATTCTATGCTACTATATTCTGCCCACATTAAAACCAGAATGTACTCTCTAGGTCAGAGTTGTCAAGTTCAAAGGGGAAAAATATAGAAGTTAATGTTAAGAATATAAGAAATGTTTGATATTCAACATACCCAGCAAAGACTATTTTGCCAACCTTAGACTGCCTAGCCAGGAAACAAATGAACAATACCAGGAAAAGAAGGAAGTACAGATATAAAAATCAAAGAACATGAAAAGTGGTTTAAACATAACTTACAATAAAGAGTGGCATACCGTATGTGATTTCTCTCCCCCTCTCAGAGAAAGGGAGGGAGGGAGAGAGGGAGAGAGAGAGAGAGAGAAAAGAATAAGAATAATAAAATAATATATTGATAAAATCACCATCAGTCAATTGCAAAAGGTGGAACAGCTTACATCCTACGACAATACCTTTCACACCATCAGACAACAATATCTGCCTATCCTAGGTCCTTGGGAAGGACTTGATAGGTGGATAA